TCCCGCCGCCTGATGTGGCGCCTTCGGGACAGGCTGCTGTCGGTAGCAGAGCACCGGGAGATCTTCCCCAACCTGCACAGAGTCCTGCCCCGGTCCTGGCAGGTGCTGGAGGAGCTGCACTTCCAACCTCCACAGGCGCAGCGGCTCTGGCTGAGCTGGTGGGACTCTGCGAGACTGGGCCTGCAGGCGGGTCTGACGGAGGACCGGCTGCAGAGCGCCCTCTCCTACCTGCATGAGAGCGGCAAGCTGCTGTACTTCGAGGACAGCCCGGCCCTCAAGGAGCATGTCTTCCACAACCTCACTCGCCTCATTGACATCCTCAATGTCTTCTTCCAGAGGGATGCATCTCTGCTGCTGCATAAGCTGCTCCTGGGGACCGAGGGTGAGGGTGAGGGGGATGGCTCCGTGGCAGTGGGACTGCCCAGCCCAAGCCAGGACATGCTCCGGGCCACCCAGCTCCACCATTACGTGGAGGGCTTCCTGCTGCATGGGCTCTTGCCAGCTCATGCCATTCGGTTGCTGCTGAAGCCTCACGTGCAGGCCCAGCAGGATTTGCAGCTGCTCCTGGAGCTGCTGGAGAAGATGGGCCTCTGCTACTGCCTCAACAAGCCCAAGGGCAAGCCTCCGAATGGGGCCACGGCCTGGTACAAGTTCCCGTGCTACGTGCAGAACGAGGTGCCCCATGCAGAGGCCTGGATTAACGGGACCAACCTGGCCGGACAGTCTTTTGTGGCTGAGCAGCTGCAGATTGAATATAGCTTTCCCTTCACCTTTCCACCTGGGCTGTTTGCACGCTACAGTGTCCAGATCAACAGCCACGTAGTGCACAGGTCGGACGGAAAATTTCAGATCTTTGCGTACAGAGGCAAGGTTCCTGTGGTGGTGAGTTACAGACCTGCCAAGGGCGTCCTGCAGCCAGACACCCTGTCCATTGCCAGCCACGCTTCACTACCAAACATATGGACCGCGTGGCAAGCCATCACCCCACTGGTGGAGGAGCTGAATGCCCTGCTGCAGGAGTGGCCCGGCCTACACTACGCTGTGCACATTCTCTGCTCCAAGTGCCTTAAGAGAGGGTCGCCCAACCCACACGCTTTCCCAGGTACGTGCAGGCGCCGGGCCCTGGGGAGACACTGACTTCTCGTTTGGCAGATTGTCTGCTGGACCTCACAGGTCGTCCAGGAAACCTTTTCAAGGCCAGTTCTGGGAGGTTGGGGACAAGCCGAAGGCACAAAGCTGGGCGACGTGGGCGCGGCCCCTTCAGACTGGACCTCCAGAGAGCTCCAGTCCAGATGTCACTGAGCTCCTTTCCCTCTTCTGGAGGAAGCCCACAGCTCATGGAAGGGAATCTTGGGTCATGGAAGGGAATTTCAGATGGCTGAACAGAGGCAAGGTGGTGCCTGACAGCCTTTGCTTGAGCCTTGGCTGGACTCAGGGATGGGCTAGACGGGCCTCAGGGCGGGTGTGACATCCAGGTGTCTGTCGCCAGGCCCCTTTGTGTAAATTCAGGGTGTAAGCGTAAAGTAAAAAATTACTGCTCTTTCCTTTGGAAATTCCAGAGAGGAGCCTCTTGTAACCGCAGTGAGTAATGCAGAACAAAGGCCATTTCAGACTGCGGCGGCTGTCCTGCATCCTGCTCCACTGGGTATACTTGCTGGCACGAGTGGGCGGGTCCCCAGACCTCCGAGGGAGAGTCCTTGGGGGTGTCCTGACTGCTGGGGCTGCGTGGCCACCTGCAGTCGGTTTCTAGGTGAAGTGTTTAGAGGATGGCGCTTGCTGGCTTTGCTTTCTAGGACAGAGAGGGGCATGAAGCTGACAAGGGTCTTGGGGAGTATTTCCAACAGCCTGTCCCACTTCCTTTAAACCATTTTAGGGGGTGGGAGAATGACGGGTTGTCGGAGATTTTTTATTTTTTAAAGTAATTATTCGTTATTGTTATTATTACTTAAATTCAGCGAGAGAGAGAGAGAGACAGAAAGAGAGAGAGAGAGAATGTGGGGAAGCAGGCTGCCAGGTCTCAGACTGAACCCTGACTGGCCATGTGGGAGTCCAGCGCTTGACCAGCATGCTACCTGCCAGCCCCCAGATTTTATTTTATTTTTTAAGACTTTTTTAGAGCTATCTTAGGTTTACATTAAAACTGAGCCCAAGGACAGATATATTTCCATGTAACCACTGCCCAGTGCACACACCCTGGAGTGGTACATTTGTTCCAATCGGTGAACCTACGTGACACGTCCTTGTCCCCAGGGCCCTCAGTTACTTGGGCTCACTCGTGGTGGGGCCCAGCTGTGGAGTGGGCAGATGCACAGTGACATGTCTGCACTGCTGTTTTCACAGTCCTTTCCCGGCCCCGAAAGCCCTGCCCCTCCGCACCCCACCTCCGGCACCGGCTGGCCTTTCTGCTGTCTCCATAGCTTACCTTTCCCTCGTCTGGGGTTTTCATTTGAGCGGGTTAATGGGTATCAGACGAGTCTAGTTGGGAAAGTGTCTGTTTTCTTATTCTTTAATAACCGAGTGTGTGGAGCGGGCGTGGTTAACCCCCTTCCAAGTGTCTTATGCAAAAACCAAACGATAGTGCATTCTCGTTCCTCACCTGAGTCCCCACCCCAGGACACACTGGGAGACGGTGAGGTGGAGCCTGTACCCGACCATCGTCCTGGTCAGAGTGCCAGCAAGCGAGCAGAGCACAATAGTGTCAGAAAGGATCAGGTGCCCGTATTTCCGAAGGCGGCCCCTTGCTGTTGCCCTAGATCTTCCTGGGTTTAATTCTTCAGCTTGAAATAAAACCCACTATATTCAGTTACTGGCCATCCGAGCCTCTATTCTGTGGTTTTCCGAGCTCTGTCACTGTATACTTTTTATTTGCTATTTCATTTTACTTATGCAAGCTGAATACTTCTTTATCATGCCACTAAACTGACGCAGTGGCTGGAGTTACATTTCACAGGGCAGGTTATCTAAGGAGCCACCCGCAGCCAGTTCTTGGTCCACAGATGAAGTGTTGATGGAACGATTTGTTACCAAGGGAGATGCGACTGTCACCTGGGTGGAGATGTATGCTGGGGAGTCCTGAGACTCCAGTGTGGACTGTGCGGCCGGGCTTTCTCCTAAACGCAGCTCTTTATTTTTGATCATTTAGCAGTTGTGAATTCCACGAACAGCTTGTACCAAGATGCAGAAATAAGCTCATTCTTGTTTTCTTTTGGCTGTTTATTTGCCTTTCAAAAAAGGCGCACCTGGTTTATAATTCAGGCTTTAAGAGATTATTTTTCCAACATGAAAAACAAATGGTTGAAAAGTTGTGATGTTATCTTATATATCGAATAGGAGTCCTCAGCTGTCTCCGTACATTTCTCTTTTGTTTGTACTCAGAGAGATGAGGTATCCTTTTTGGTTTGTTTCAGATTGTATTTCTTCCAAAAAGAATAGGGCACAGAGAATGGAGATATTAGTATATTTTTCATTTCATCAGTATGGAAAAGCACACTCAGCTCGCTCATAGAATTCTGTGACCGCTCCGTCATATTTGCCTATTGTAGCTGTCTTGTGTTAGTAATTGTCACAGTTTTGAAAAACTTGGTAAGGGTGAAGTAGTGAAAGCCGGGGGTGATGCAGGCACAGAGTTCTGCTGTTGGCGTTCAGTTAGAGCATGGGTTAGAAATGCATTCACTGAGTCACTGGGTCCGAAAATTATTTTTTCATTCAATACAAACCTTTTAATCTCTTGGTATCCTGTTGTCTTCTTCAAAAGAGGCCTTTGCCATGGGGCACGTGTACTCACCGGAGATACAGCGAGAGACAGACAGAAGGGCCATTAAAAAGATTGGTTACTTAGTTTTACACTTTATTAAAGTATGAAGTTGTCCTGTTAGTTGTAATAATTTAATGCAATAGTGAAAAAACTGGATTTTAATTTTGTTAACGTTGGAACTTAAAGTAAGAATATTTAGCAAATCACAACATTTCCTTGGTCTTACACAGAAGAAACATAAAGTTGCACTTATATCTTTAAAAATGTTTTTATGTGGAAAGAGTTTGGCATTGCCCTGTCGAATTTCTGGGTCCTGCTGCACTGTGTGGCTGGACTTGGGAAGTGAAAACCTTGGGACTTTCCTTACTTGGTTTGCACAGGAAACGCAGTGTCTTAGAAGTGGTCAAGCAGCAGCCCCTGGCTTTAGAAGTTTTGTAAGCAGATGCAATTACACCAACAGAAAGAGCACTTACATACTTATTAAGACAGAGGCACTGAGAGACAGGAGATTCTTTTGGCAGGTCAGAGAGAGCTGTGAAGTCGGGCGTCCCGCGGCCAGGCTCCCAGTGCTGGGTCGGGCCTGTACTCCTGTCCAAGGGCACCCTTCCTCTCGTGGGCTATTTACTTATGCTTCTTGCTTTATCTGATTGAGGTGACTTTCGAGCAGAAAAGCCGAGTGCACCTGAGGTTCAATGCTGGACTGAGGAAGGCTAGGAGAGGCTGGACCCCAGCGACGGTGACGTTCAACCCTCGGTTCCCAGTAGCAGTTAGTCACTGGTGCGTGCTTTGAATCAGAAGATTGTGTCCTCGTGGTGGAACTTGTGTTGAATGTGAATTCTCACTAAATATCTTACTTCCAAAATTTTAAAAGTTATTTTTAAGAATAATGGGGAAGCTAGTCGAGTCGGTAGACTGTTTATATACAGTTTTTTTATATAGTTTTCTTTTCTTTCTTTTTCAAACATCTGCTATTGGAGGTGTGTGCTTCCTTTGGGGAGGAGGTCCCTGCGCAGTCCCTCCTCCATCTCTCTACCTTTCGGGATTTCTAGCAGTCAGTCAGAGTTGGCAAATGACTGGTTAGTCTTCCGTGTGAGAAACGTCTTCTTTGTGAATTGCGAGTCACGTGGGAGCTCCGCCCCGGTCCCAGGTGGTGCTGAATGGTGGGCAGGGCTGCTGGGTGCTGCGCCCCTGCCCCGCCCTCAAGTGGGTCCTTCCTTCTGACACTGGACAAAGCAAAATTCTCACCTTACTGTGTCTGAGTGTTAAGAGTTCCCGGCATTTGAGCATGACTCAGTTGTTTGGACTGAAGTAGTCACTGTCGTCTCATAAAGGGTGTTCAGCGTCTTTTCTGATCTATCTTCAGTAATATTGGTGCCTCTTGGCTTTTGTTTTTGTGAACATTCTTCTTTGAACTCTCTGTAACTTTGTTTTTTATGGAAATCAAAACCGCAATTGGGCAGTGGAGGAAAGGAGTACTCTGCAGAGTAGAATTCAAAGATGAGGAGGCTTTGGGATGTTAGGGTATTTTGAGTGCTCCTTTTTTAAACTCTAGAGCAGGGTCTTAAGTCCCTCCCTGCCACGTGAATTACAGTTTCCTGGAGAAAGTATTCGTTCATTGACAGAGAAATCGTTTCCTCTGAGGTCACTCCTCGCTCTCCCTGGTGCAGCTCCTGTTTTAGCTTCTACTCCTCGACTTCATCTTCACAGCTGGAATGCATGCAGGGTGTCCTCCTGGGGTGTTTGGGCTGGTTCAGAAGATCGTGCTTGAGTCTGTGACGAGGGGAGGTGCTTCTGCCACTGCACCTGGACGGGAGGTGGAATGGACATTCAGGGCACTTTCTCCACCCCCTGCCCTACTTCTCCCGTGGGAGCCTGATTTGCTCAGGACCTGAGGAGCCACCCACTAGGGCCCCTTGGTTGTTGTGTTTCCTGAGAACCATGGGTGGAGGCTTGCCTCGTCTTTTGCCTCCTCCCACCCCCACTCCCCACCTTGCAGCAGCCACTGTGGAGTGGAGAACTGCCCCAGCTGCCCACTCTATGCACATGTGCTGGTCAGGCCCACTCAGGGCAGGCCCAGCGGGGCTCAGCTTTTCTGACAGCGAAGCCTGCTGCTGGGTGGTTGGTGCACTCACCACCCTCTGAGGGCTGCGGCCTTTGCTTGGCCAGGACAGACCAGAAGGCCTCGCCTGGGCTGCGTTCCTCAGTGACAGCTCGGCCTTTGCGACACTGACCCTCTGTGGGACCCAGAGTGCCTGACGACCTGTCCTTAGTGCTCCGTGGCATCCCTCCCACGTGGGGAGTGGCAGTGATGGGTCCCTGCTCTGACCTGGAGCCCTGCCGCCCTCTGC